TGTGTGTGTGTGTGAGTGTGTGTGTGTGTGACAGCCGAACAGGCGCAGCATCATCTCTGGTTTCTCTGGAAAAAACCGGCAGGAGACGATGCAGCGTCCTGCTCTGTCCTTTGACAACACAATTCACACCTTTTTGAAAAGACGGTGCATAAAAACATCAATGACATTTTGATATGGATAAACGTTTCCCGCTCGGCCAGTGGATGTTACACAATAGCGATTAAACCTCCGCTCATTCCGTGAAAGATTTTCCATTTGCTGCGGCCTTTTGTACGAGCCAGGAGATTGTGTAATTTCCTCGTGCAGCAACTGCAGTGAATTTGCAGAAGAATATGGAAGAAAATAAGTTATTATGAGCAGGAGTGTGTGATCACAACAGCAACACACGCTCCGATTAAAACACGTCACAGATGCAAAATTGCAAGTATGTAAGTATCACTTTTTCAAATATAGCATGACTTGTTTTGGAAGCAAAAACCTCCCCAAGTACACAATTTATTCACAAACATGAACTCATTATGCAGACCTCATATAACCACATTATTTCAGCACTGCTCGAGTGAAAAAGAATAATTTCAGCTCGGTGTGCAACACTCTACTTATGTTTAAAAAGGTGCTCCTCACCTCTTTTTGATACCCTGCTTCCTCTCCGCAGCCGTGTATGAATAAATATGTGCATGTGTTCAGGTTCTGCAAGCTTTAGCTCTTTTAAACAATGTGCGGGGTCGATGCAGGCGGGGAGACGAGGGCTGTGCGTTGTTCTCTCTCCTCCTGTTGCGTTCTCTGAACATCGGGGACACATGATGACAGCAGCACCACACAATGCGGAAAATAGAAAAAAGTTGTTTAGTGCTACACTCGCAACCTTTACATGCACAACGCATGTGCTCAACAATACAAAGCATAAATTGAACATACCTGCAATCAGTTAGAAATGCCGAAGTCAGTCATGTGATGTGATGGATTGTATGTCAGTGTTTTCTACCATAAATACAAACTGAGGCTGTCAGCAGCTTTGTCTCTGGGCGAAAAGCAAAAACCAAGAATTGTGAGCAGCTCCGAGGTGATTGAGTTTCTCTTGAAGGAGAAAAAGACTTAAATTTACCAGTAATTGATCTGATTTGAAGAGTCGTGCTAGCGTTATGTGCTGCACTGTCATGATGGTGGGAATCACAGGAAACACTTCAACCAAAAACTCTTTGAGAATGAGCCAAAATATAACTTGTGAGTAATTTTGATGATGTAACTTATCAAACTGCATTTGAAATCCATTTTTTAAAAGTATATATTGTGTTGTGCTGTTCCCTGAATGTAGCTGGAGTCTTGGCTTTGTCGGGGGTCCCACTTCCTTCAAACACGTCTCTATTCTGCTGCCACTGAGGTAATCTGCTCCGTGAGTGACAATGGCTTCAAAACAACTTCTGTTTACTTGACACTTTTATCACAACTGAGTGAGAGTGTGGGTTCAAACACCTGCCACCTCTAAGGAGGAGTCTGTTCAGGCAACACCTGACCCCCGTGCTCATAGTATAATCCAGCTGCCACAGTGTAGGATTCATCTCCAGGCTGCAGCAGACGTAGGATTTCTTTAATTCCCTCCATGCTGATGGTTGGTTCCATCTGAGCGATGGGCTGTGGGAACAGTAAGGTGCCACTTGAGGCGTCCAAGAAGGGCTACGTCGGTGTGGTGCAGTCGCTCATGGCCTTCAGCAAAGCGCACAATGACAGACCCTGCGATGAGCCAAAGAAATGTTTGGAGAAACAAAGAGGTGCATGGTTCTCCACCGGTGTCAAGAGTCATCAGCAGACGTCCAACAGCCAGCAGCTGATACTCAGAGAGGGACGACAACGGGACAAAGCTGCCAAGTATAAAGACAAGTTTGATCCACGTGTCACAGCAAGGTAATTTTTCAAATATAATAAAACTCTGCTATTTCTTCATGTTTATGTGAGATTTTCTTAAATACAGAGTAAAAACTGCTTATTTGTTGAACTGTCTGTTGTTATTTTGCCGACAGCAGTTATATTAAAATATCAAATAAGATTTCTTTAAAAAAAAAACAATCCATGTTTTATTTAAACTTGGTATTGAGGAGTGACCTGATTTTGTATTTTCAATTTCAAGTACTTTTTCTTTTTAAAAAAAGGGAGGACAAAGAAAGAAACAAGAGAAGTAAACAAGTGATATTATCTCAACCCGGTGAGCAGCCACTTTTAAAATCCATTCAAAACTGGATAATTTGCCACACAATGCAAGGTGAAACGTCTTAAGAGCCTTGCAATTATTCATGGGAGCCTTTTTGCTGTCAGCAGCTTTCTCATTCACCACCACCAACCTTTGTGCAATACAATTTATTAGCAGTAATAGCAGACATTGATTTTAGAAGCCTGGGTCTTGTCCTACCCTCACACTGCCTCACTGTAGTCGGATGAAAGCTAGAAAACAACTAAAGCAGGGAAACTGATGTCATTCAAGAGAATGTTTTTAAAATGTGTTCTCTGGTGATCTAAATCATACAAACATATAAAGATGAGTTTCCCTGCTGTACTAGCCGACACTGCATGCAGATACTTCTCCATACATCACAGCTGCAGCTGCACCGAGAGATGTGAGTGCGTTTCAACCTTGTATCATGAGATAGTTACGCTGTAATGAGTCATCTTCCCCCCTCTGCCCCGTCAGATACGACATCAAAGCTCTGATCGGTCGTGGAAGCTTCAGCCGCGTCGTGCGAGTGGAGCACAGGGCGACTCGCCAGCCGTTCGCCATTAAAATGATGGAGCTGGAGGCCCCAGAGGGTCGTGAGGTGTGTGCCTCGGAGCTGGCGGTGCTGCAGCGGGTGAGCCACACTAATATGATTCAGCTGATCGAGGTGTTTCAGTTTCCGCAGCGGGTTTACATGGTGCTGGAGCTGGCGACAGGCGGGGAGCTGCTAGACCGCGTCGTCAGCAGGGGCCACTTCACCGAGCGGGACGCCACCCAGGCCTTGCAGATGGTGCTGGCTGGGGTGCGATACCTGCACAATCTGGGCGTCACCCACAGAGATCTGAAGCCTGAGAATCTTGTGTACTACCACCCCGGAGCTGACTCCCGGCTGCTCATCACTGACTTCGGACTGGCTACTTTTGGCGGCACAGGGCCGGAGCTTATTGACAACAACACAACCGACGAGGGAGATCGGACCGGCACGGAGCGCTCATGGTCCCTGAGGACCACTTGTGGAACACCAGAGTACTTGGCCCCTGAGGTGTTGTTGAGGAGACCCTATTCCTGTGCAGTGGACATGTGGGCCCTGGGGGTGATCACCTACATCGTGCTGAGTGGATCTATGCCGTTTGAGGACGACAGTCGCACACGACTCTATAGATCCATACTGAGAGGAAAATACAGCTTCCACGGAGATGTAAGTTTATTATGATTTACATACAGTAACAAACAGAAGCAAAAATAACGTTGTCATCATCAATTTGATTTGGAAACAAGCACATGTGATAATTCTACAGCCAAAATGAAAGGACTCTATATATGTTTCAAGTCACAGTGATGTACGGACACGAGGGGCGAGCTTTATATAGTTTCTATAGAAAGTGACACAAATACCCTGAGCAGCTTTGGATTTCATTGTGTGGTTTATCTGACCTGGGATCTGCAAAAGTTGTTCAGTCTTTCACTGTTGTGTTGGAGCTTCATCCCTGCATTTATGGTCAGTATCAGTATTGGGACTTTTCCACACAAAGAGCTTCACAATACTTCATTCACACATTCACACAAAGCATCTATGTGCATCACTTTCTCTATATCACACATCACTCATACACTGCCAGCACAGCCTTCAGGCACCTGGGATCAAACCTCCGACTCTTGAGTTATAGGATGACCTCCGGTTAGTGGATGATCCGCTCTACCTCCTGAGCCACAGCTTCCCCTATAGAAGCTTTCAGGTTTGGTGAAGGCCTGTGCTGAGAAATAGAGAAAGTAAGTAGCCAGCTCAATAACTGAACCACAGCTCATGCAGCCCGACAGATGCTGTTTTTCTGAAATATTCCCTCACCGAAAGCCAGAAGTTGTCATTCTCCTAATGCTCATGGACCCTTCGCATTATGTTGAATTGACTTCTAGTGAAGCAAGAAGTTGTATTTCAGCTCTGCTCGGCTGAAAGAGAATGAGGAGATTGACAGTCCTATGACATACTTCCACAGTATTCCCAGCTCTCAGCTGTCTCGCAAGTCAAAATGGAAACTTATTTTTTGGTTTGTTTTGTGGATGCAAACCAGAACCTGAGGTAGAGACACAAGAGTTTAGCCTCGAAAGTCGGTCGCATTGTTAGGACATGTGAAGGTTGAGCCAGTGAATGAAACTATTTCTGCTTCCAGCATCTGCCTCCAAAATAAACTAAAAGTCCCATCTGCCACTTCCATTTTGACATACAGCATTTCCCCACAATGCAATCTGATTATGTTGAATCACACGCTGCACACGAGTGATTCACACCTTAACCATTACGGTATTACAACGCACAGAAACTCTAACCTTGCCTGGTATAAATAGAATTCAACGAGGTGTGATAGCATCACAACTTCCCGCTCTATGAAAACGCTTTGACTCAGGGGGTAAACGGACCCTGCACGTTTTTTTTTAGTTTGAACCCCTTTTCCTCCGTCACATGACTTACCTGGGTATTGTTGACTGCTTCAGTGTTGACTTTGTTCTTTCACACTGATTTCACCGAAGGCTGGATTATTCACTGGGCTTTAATCCTGCACGGCGCGATTCTCAGGGATGCAGTTTGACATTTTAGTTTGGCATACAAGAGGCTCCCTTACATCGGCCCTGGACCATTATCCCTGTGTTTACCGCTGCACTGACCACCATCTGAACAATGGTGCAAAAATCCGTCCAGAGTTTATGCGTGGGCTTGTTTCACGTTTTTCACGGTGGCTTTTTTCGACACAGCTCGCCGGCCACACTGGTGGAGAGAAATCCTGTGGAACAAATACACTCACGCTCACATGTATAGTCTCAGACGCCTCAGTGAGATGCGGTAAAGACATCAATGTGTAAATTCTAACTGTATGGTGACAATATGAAGACATCATACATGGCTGAGTAGAGGTCCAGAGCTTGGTGGATCAGCCATCAATCACATTATTGCGTTGACAAGACACTTATTCTCTGTCATTCACAAGCCTCCGTGCTCTCAAGTAGACTGACAGCTACACACACACACACTGTGATAATAATGTTGTAATGTCTGAGAAAGGCTCACAAGTATCCATAAAGTACCACAAGTGTTCTCCGTGTCATCCTGAAGGGTGCTTCTCTGTGGGACGAGAACATTTACAACGGCCTGAGCAATTCCCATCACATATTAAACTTGACTTGAAGAGTTTCATCTGAAATGAGCCGTCCAACAGTGGAACAACCTGACACAGAGATGTGCAAACTGCCCACAGTGGCGTTCATAGAATTTGATCGGGATCCTTGGTGCTTTAAAGAAGCTGCTCCCCAACATAAAGTTCTGTCAGCATCGTAAACACATCTTTTCTGTTTTAAATTACAATAAAATATACGAATAGTATTGAAAGGATTTGATGTCAATTCAATGCAAACAGAACCTTTTTTTTTTAAACTGATATTGTAGAAGAGAATTCAATCTCTGATTATAATAATTTATATTTCTGTCCATAAACTGTATTATAAAAATGGACATAGACTCTAGTGGGCGTGCCTGAAACCTCAATTTCAATCTTGACCAGCAGAGGGCTGATCTTCTGAAGTCTATGAGGAAATACTTGAAGGAGTTTATGTTCTCAATCTGTTGTATCTGCGTGTCTCATCTCCTTCTTGCAGAAAAGAGTTCTATAGCATGATGCTTTGTTTTGTCACGGCCACACTCATGCACATGATCGTGCACATTGGCCAACAGAGGCATTATATTTTAACAATGAGTCCTCACCCTGTTCAGTATGTCACACCACAAACTGCAGCATCGCTGTGCTCAGTGTTGATTTATTACCCACACAGGAAGCATGACATTGCATTTGGTGCAGAGAGCAGGACAGTTGACTTAAATGGGAGACAACTGTGACCGCACCTTTAACCTGCTGCTGGATTCAAACCCACTGCGCTAACCACTGGGCCACCGTGCTGCCAAATAACACACAGGCTATTGTTTGGTGACAGTGCACATTTTGCACCTGCATAATGTCTTTCTTTTCACTGTGTGGTTAAATGTGAGTCTCTGGGACAGTTATGTAACGCGTGGGTTCGATGGTCATTAACATAGAACATCATTGTGAGAAATGAAATATTCAATGAAGCAGTGCAGAGAAAATGGGGATTAACTTCAGGTACCAACATTTTTTCCAGGTGGACAAATAGAGATTTGGAAAGTTACTCTTCTTCTTTCTCACATGCAAATTAATTCACAAGGGCTGCCATTACAAACGGTCTTTTCAAAAGAATCAGTGACCTCTTGTGCTCGTGGAGACAGAGCAGGGACGTGCAGGGACAGAGGACTTGTCTTTCTATACTTTCGAGGGATAATTTTCTAAAACCACAGTGAGGACATTTAGATATTATGAGAACATTGTGATCTTGTGAGGACATTTCAGCACAATCGCACAAGTTCCTTCTGAAGGTATTTTGCACTTCGACAAGTACACAGGCTACATAGAAATGTGTGTGTGTGTATATATGTACAGGTGCATACAAACACATACATACACCCACACACTTGCCTATGCATATACACACATACATCAACACATACAGTTATAGGGTTAAGTGTTGGGGCTAAGCATTTAGTTGTGATGGTTAAGACTAGAGACTAGGGAATGCCTGAGGTCAATGAGTGTCCTCACATCTATAGAAAGGTGTGTGAGTGTGTAGGGGGGTGGTGTAGCATCACTCACAAATGCAAACAGCCACTGGCACCTGCCTAGGTGTTCACTCAACAGTGGGGGTGGGGGAGGGAAGGGGGTTGCAGAAAAAGAAGGGAGGGGGAGAAATGGGTGTAGCCTTGGGGGATTTTGGCACCTTATCACTCACCTCATCACGGCTGCATGTAGGACAGAGCGTTTCCCTCGCACAGAATCAGGGCATCGCATCTGGTGTGTGAGCGGAATTCAAAGAGTGTGTGTGTGTCTGTGTGTGTGTGTGTGTACGTGTGTGTGTGTGTTGTGGCACACTCCTGCATGTAAAGCACATATCCTCGCGTTAGCTTGGACCAGACTGCGGCCTGCTAACCTCCTCCTCCTGCATTCTGCTGCTGTGTTTATTGAAGCCACTCTTTTCCTGACCCAACCCAAACATCTGCATCTCTGAGCAGCAGTGCAACCTGGGTAACAGTAAGCCCAGTCTGCCCCCTAGTGAGCGCCACATGAAACAAAACCCAGCCTCCACTTGTCCACAGTGTATTGTACATGACAGCCCAATCTCGCCTGCATCCGGCTATCGATATTTTCATTACTGCCGACATGGCTGCGACTTTCACCTGAATTAGCAACAGGCCACCTTCCCCCATTTGGACTCATTATGATGAGGCATATTTAAACTTGGCTTTTCTCACTCAGGAAATAAACTGTGGAAGGAAGCAGAGAGGCGGAGGCTCTTTGTGTGGAGCGGTTCATTACTCAGGAGTGCATTATCCTTCGTGATCATGTTAATCCGACCTTCTAGCGTTTTCTTCATTTGCTGCAATTACGGCTTTGTCAGGTAAAGATGTAACGCGCCGCAAACAGAGTCGGCGGAGCTTCTCATTCACTCTAACAAGATGTTGCTCAATAAGCCGAGCCCTGTAGGTTTTCCTGCCATATCTGCACTGCACTTGTCTCCCCTCTCTCCCTCCTTTCAGCTCTCTGCTCAACAGTGATGTATAACTCCCCCTCCCTCCAAACACAATAAAGCCTTTATGTATTTTGACGTGAAAAATGTTGGAAGTAAGAAAGGGGGATAAACTTCTTGCAGGTGGCTTTGCTCCAGGAGGACAACAAAGCTAAATCTCGTCTTCTTTATGTGTACCTTGTTGATGTCAGGAGGAACTTTTGCTAGTGTCTCAGCTGTGCCCTCTTAGATATTTCCCTGCATCATTCTTGTCATCATTCTCGTGCATAGCCAGGATGCAACGAGCTAACCACGGCTGCTATCAGATGTGTGTTTCGTGGCATGGTGATAAGGCGTCTTGCCAAATCAACACCAGCAGGATGAAGAGAAAAGTCAGACTTGTTAGTCGAGGGAGCTCAATCAAACACTTTCTCTCATTCCAGGAGAAACCAAGTGTCACTCCGCCTGCTTCTCAGGTGTGAAATAACAACACAGCGAGAAGAAAGCCTGAGCAAGAAGCATTTTTATGGCTCGTTCGGCAGGCGGCTCAGCGTCTGGCGCCGCTCACTCTCCTCTCCAGTCAATGCGCTGTGAGAATGAGCGAGACCCTGCTTCTTTGAATTCCTCTCACTGGCAACAGTCTCGCGATTGTCAATTTCATGCTTGATTAATTGTCATTACTTGTCGAGAGACAAAAAAAAAAAGGGAGAGAGAAATGCATTTCAGGATTAAAATGGAGAGCGAGAACTCCCTAAAGACTGAGATGTAGTCCGAGCAGGGTTGAGCAGGGAAAGAGAGAATTCTGCAGATTTCACTGTATTTAGCTTCTATTCTCACCAGCCAGACATTGTACAGAAGAACCTGAAGTTATTGTTGCAAATCTTCTTCCATCTTAGGACAAATAAATACGATAGAAGTGACTGTGAATCTCTAAATAATTACCTGACTTCATTCAAACCAACCATGAGGAGAAAGGAAGCAACCAGATGATAACTCAGATTAATCTAATGTCTATATCAGTAATATATTATTTAAAATAAGATGACAAAGAACCAAAGGCGTGATGAATAATTTAATGATTCTCTGCCATGATAAGGATTGTCGTTTCTCATCTCCCAGTGGGAAGAAGCTTTGGTCGTAACTTGAACCATCACTTGCAAAGAGCTAAATATCCCTCTGAGCTTCTTCTGTGGTGCTTTTATTGTGAAGCTAACGCTGAATAAAGCGAAATCCAAACGTGCCCAAATCCCACACACACTGCAGGGCTGTGCGACCTCCCAGGCTTCGCATTCATTCAGCCAAGACTGCAGCTTCACTTTGTCCAGTGACATTTAGCTTTCCTTTGAGTTTAGTTCTGCTTGTTAGGCCTGCAGAGCACAGGGATCATAGATTTATTTCTTTTTTTTATGAATGAAGTCATGCGTCCGACTTTGAAGAGGCTTTGAATCTGTGCAGGCTTCTTGTCTCGATACCGAGCAGCAACTTTTTAAAGGAGTTTCCCAGAGTGTCTGTGTGTTGGCTGAGTCGGCGTCCTTTGGGGTGAGAGCTTTTAATTCCACCCTGATGGCAATTACTCTGCGCTGCTTCTTCTTCTCCACAGCCTTGGCCCTCAGTGTCCAACCTGGCAAAGGACTTCATCCAGCGCCTGCTGGCGTTGGACTCGGCCACCCGCCTGACCGCTGACCAAGCCATCTGTCACTCTTGGGTGGTCACCATGGCAGCCAGCTCCTCCACGAGGAACCTCCATCGATCCATTTCCCAGAACCTCCGGCAACGAGCTTCACGTAGCTCCTCCCGGTGCCCGAGCAGCACCACAAGCTCCTGTGATGTCGGCTGCCCGGGAAAGTAAACAGGAGCAGCGTCAGGGCCGAGCATCTGCACTGATTCAGCCTCAGAGAGCCGTACAACATCTGGCCAGGGAGCATCAGCGCCATCCGACGAAAGCATCAGATTCATGGGAAGGTTGACGAAGGGATGGGACCAGCTGCCCCAGCTCGGTGTGTTCGGCCATCACTAACCTCAGAGCTCCAGACAGGGAGCCAAAGTGCCTGGGACAGGTGTTAAGACAAAAAAAGTGTCTCTCTCTTCTGTGGACTTCAACCAGGCTTCTCTAATAACCCGGGTTCCCCTATAGGCTCAGCTCCATCTTCCATTGTGGTGGAGTTAAGCTGATGGTGATTATCCTTCAGTTGTGAGAGCCAGGCTTGTTCTGAGACATCGCTGTCCACCTCCACAAGGTCTCTAGCCCCTGGTTATTCACACAGCTCAGACTAATGGGCCCAGGGTCTCATCTGGGCCATTATGAGTGACCACAATATACTCTCCTGTGAAGATGTCCATTCCAGAAGATGAGAAATTCATCATTTGAGGAATGGGAGCTAACATTAGCAAAGGATTGTGGAAGAAAGAAGAGAAAAGAAACCCTGTGTCTTCCTCTCTGATCTTTTTCCATTTGTGATAATAGAATTTGAATCCCCACCACCAAACAGCAGGAAGACACAAATGACACAAAAAGCAAATACGCCCTATAGTGTTAACTTCTGTTGCCAGTCCTCCTACATCACAGCTACCCTGAAAGAACAATCCAGATATTTGGTAACAGGCGTCTATCGGCTCTCCCCCAAAACCTTATGTGAGCTGTAAACAACAGCATCCTCCAAATAAACCTTTTCTTTCCAGTGACAACTTTTAAATTAAAATGGTAATAAAAGTATGCAGCACAAAGGGGACCTGATAGTTCATTAAAATGTAAGTGAGATGCATTACCAGCGAGGTTTAATCTTGTTTAGTAATATCACATATAATAATAATATAGTGGATTGTTCCCATTTTAGTTTGAATCCTTCATGATTAATGTGTTTGGTTAGGTCGTGTGTGTTGGAGCTGGAGCTGCACAGATGGACTAAAAATAAAAAAGACCTTTTGGAACCTGGAACTCAAACATGCCAAATTTACTTCTGCTTTTCATATGAATAATTTAATTTAATGTTCTGTGCAATCAAGAATCTAAAACAATGTCTCCTTGAGATAAAACACAGTCTTGTCCATTTTTTGTTGCCTCGTGCTTCTCTAACATCCATTATAGGCCATTGTTGTTGTAGGGCAGCTACTGTCAATGATATTAGTAGTAGAAGTACACAAAGTATATCAGTATAACATGACTGACCTTGAAGAAAACTACTTTCTCTCTACATCTGCATCATCTGTTTTGGTTTGGTTCCTACCTCACGGATCCGACAATTCTTTATTCAGTGCTTCACTAAATTTGGATTATGTCGTTGGGAGGAGGCTGATGCATTGTTCCTTCAGCAGGGAGCATCGTAGAGTTGTTAACGTCTCTCAATTGCTGCCCATAGCAGTGACGTGGGATCAATGTCACTTTGCGAATAAGTGCGGGTGTGTTTTGGAAGCGAGCAGAACAGAGAAAGTAGGATGTTAGTGGGCAATGAGGTAATCTCCTTAACTTGCTGCAGCAAACAGTGCCTGCTCCTCCTCCTTTATGCTTTGGTGAGTGTGGTGTGTTTTCTTTAAGATGAGCTGCAGTAACTCCTCCACACAGAATAATATGACCTCATGTGCCCGCTGGAAAACTTTCTATTTGTTTCCTGAATTGTTTGCACTGTGTGCGACGCAACCGACTCCATATCTGGTGTCATCAAATGGTGTTTGACTGCACGGTCGAGGCAGAGGCGATTTGTTATGCATTTTTATTTTAAAATCTGTCTGCAAACAAAAAATTCCACTCAAGGGCTGATAAAGAAATGTGAATTGAATTAAACCAAACTGAAGTCAGCAATAATGGAAATGGTCTTTTTTTTTTCCTCTGCTCCCAAACTATTATGGTTCCATTCTCAGCATTCTTTATCTTTCAATGGGGAATAACCGACCAGCTGTCGCTTCCATGCTTTGTCCATCTCATTTCAACACACTGGCTAATTCCATTGTCTCGTGCAGTTGCTGTGGGTTTAGAGAGAAACTGGCTCGATCTCAAGGAAATCCCCTGCATGTTTACTCTCCATCTTTATAGCGTCCTGCACATATTCCTATTGTTTAAGTCCATGATGCTGTGTGATCATTCGACAATTTGGCCCTGGGAAGCAGTCCTCTGTGCGATAAGCTGCTGGATGTAAATCAATCAGCAATTAAATGTGCATCAGCTCTCTTCCACCTTCTGCAGCAGGGCTGGATATCACTGCAGACGTTCAAATGTTCTGCTCCTGCAAGAAGGAAACTCCAGATTCGCTCCAGCGGGGATTTTAAGCCAGAAACGTGTCCTCAAAACTAATTTAGCCGGTGTGAAGCCGGGTCAATATCTTTCCGCACAGGCTTTAGTCTCATACCGTGGTCAGCAAGGCCAAACAATCGAGAAAAGCCGAGCGGAGCAAAGATTGCAAGCGATATAGCGTTTGATCTCTAACACCAGCCCCGCGCTGTACAAGGGGAAGTATGACAGAAAAGTGTCTTTTTCTTTGCCTCGGCTTCTCTCAGCAGAAAACCAAGGACTTATTCTCTTTATCTATGGCCTTACTTGAGGAGATCATTTGCTGCTCAGGACCCTGAGACATAAGCCGGCAGATCCACTTGTGGCTGCTGTGAGGAAGAGGATAACAGGGGGTGGGGGAGTGGTGGTGATGGTGGGGGAGTCCTCCAAGCCCATGTCCTGCACAGGAACCATCTGGTCCACCCACCAGGGGGAGGACGCCCACTTTCCCGCTCGTGTTTGTCTGAATCTTTCACGGTGAGTACCTCTGATTTCGAATGTGTGGACTAAACACCCAGTGGATCAAATATCAGGCTCCTCTGTGAGCTGGAGATTATTTACCTTAAACAACAATTACAACTGCTCTCCACCTTCATGATTTGAAAGGAAAGAATGGTTCACACTTTCACTCTGTAAATTGCTTTCTTTCTTTTTTCCCCACCTTTCTCCAGATGAACCTGCTATTTGCTGGTGTCCCCGTTATTATGCTGTGGGTCCGACGCCTCAGGAACACGAGGTGGGTCAATACTTTTCTCATTGAGGATGCAATAAAAGTAAACTGTCTCATTATTCTTACCACTCACAAATTCTCATTTAGATTGTACCCTGGATCCCACCAGTTGTTTTCCACTCAAAATTGGCTCTCGTCATCTCCGCGGGGCTCAGGGCTGTTTTTTAAATGCAGCAGAGATTCAGAAGCGACGGGACAGCTGGTGGCACATTTCGAGCATCGGTGTGGACAAATTGTTATCTAGAATATTTGTTGCCCTTGTGAGGGTCCAGTAAATATGTTACATTCACACTATACATTCAAATAACATCTTCCTAGCGTCCCTGATTTTCACCAGCAGCACGTGAAGGAATAGTCGCATGAGAAATTCAAGATTAAACTTTATTACACACGAAAGGGAAAGACTGGAAAACCATCATAAGTCTCTTTTAAAGATGCACATGACAGGAGACTCCGTGCGATTGTGAAGATTTCATATCGCTCGGTGGCAACGCGGCCGAGCGGTTTCTGTAACTTCAGTGTCTCCTGCATGTGAAGTTGGTGTGTGTTTGGGTGTGTGTAGATGTCCAGTGTGGCTGTTTGGCCTCGACTGCACGATTCACATCACATGCTGCCTTCAAATGGAATTATTTGTGAGGTTGTATTTTTTGATATGCAAAGTCACGCACAAGGTGTGTGTAGTTTTCCAGTTTCAGCAGAGAGAACACAACTGTTGCTAAGTGACTGACAATGGACAACGACGACGGAGGATTTTATTCATTGATTTATTGAATTCATCTAAATCTCAAGCGTGAGGAACAAAAATCATGAGGCTTCCAAACCAAACCGCAACATGCAGGGAAATCTTTACCTCTGTGATGCGGTGCTTTCATGCAGTGGGAAAATACAGCTTTTTGTTGCACCTACAGACCATTCAGATCACGGATGCCAAAGTCAAGGGGTCGGGAACTGTGGAGAGAGCGTCTGGCTGCGGGGCCACACTGTTTCTGGTGTTACTCAGGAGGTGAGTGGCCTCGGAAACTCTCTCTGCCTTCTTCTTTGAAGGGATCACTGTTAATGCAACCCTGTGTGCTGTTTGGGACCATAAAGAAGTTTCTCTATTGTTCGGTTCCCTTCCTTTGGCGCAGTGGTGCTTATTGAGAGATCTTTGTTTGACGGACCAATCTGTATTTCATTTAAATGACATAATAATTGTATGATTTAAAGTGGAAAATAAGTGAGGGAGAAAAGAAAGAACTAACAATGGAGAGTTGTTTTTTGTTTTCTGTATTTGACGAAATGCTTTTTGACAATAATGACAATGACAATAATAAAACCGTTGGGGGTTTTATTCATACTCTGCAACTATAATTATAACTAATTATATATTATAACTAATAAAAGGTAGTTGTGATGATGCTAAAATGAGAAAATCTTTACAAAAAAATAAAACCCTGCTTGTAACACGTATGTTGAAGACCATGTTCAAATGTTGTGTGGAACATATGTTGCCATGTTGTCCCAACATAGATATACAGTATGTTGTCATTCAGTAACACCATATCATTTTTAGGGCGAGGGCTTATATAAGGACTTTACCTGGTTTAAGAATTGTCCAGAAGTGGGCCAGCACATATGGGAACATTGTGACACAGCCAGGGAGCTGCTGAACAGAGGCTGTCCTGTTGGCTGCCTGGAGGACCCCAGAGGGGCCACTGACCGTCTGAGGAACCTAGAGATCACCTTCCATCCTGAGAAGCAAACACACTGACGACGGCAGAGGATGGGTCAGTGTTCGGCTGCACCTCCGGTCACGTGGGTGTCATGTCAACATTATGAGAAAGAAAAGTTGTTCTTATTTAAATTGTTCTGAGAAGCTGTCGTCATTTTTCATCTTTGTTTCATTCCGCTCACAGAGATCTGGAGAAACTCAAGCACAAATACTTGGAGAAGTATATGGAGAACTTTCAGGTCACAGACTTCACCAAAGTCTTGCTTTTGCAAATGAGGTCATGATTCTAAAAAATCTTTAACTACGAAGCACAAAAGAAATTCTGGTCACAGAATATGTATTTTTTACCTTCTCACACAATGCTGCACATGTTATTTCAAACAACATAATGATCCTATTTGTTATGCTCTGTGCTTTAAGGGGAAGTACAGGTGTGTGGAGGATTAGATCTGTACTACCTGATGGACCTGTCCTTCTCCATGGAGGACGATCTGATCACTGAAGCTGGGCTCTGACCTCATGGACGAGATGATGAATATCAGCCGAGAATTCTGAATGGGCCTGATTTCATTCTCATTCTCACCTGAAATGTAGGCCAACATACTTTCTTCTTAACTTTTCATACCTCTGTTCTACTTTTTATGGAATACCCTCGTGTCACATTCACACAGTTACACTCCTGAGAGCTGCCCCGTACACTCATAATCTTACTATTGGCCGCTGAGCAGCACCACTGGAGCGATTGGGGATTAAGTGCTTTGCTCAAGGACAACTGGTAACTGCTGAAAGAAGAGAGAGCGTTCGTTATTCACTTTCCACCCTTCAGCCACAAAATCACTTACCAAAACTTGCCGCTCCTCCTCACTCCCCTGGATTCATCCAGTCTCAGGTTTTGGTGCGTTTGTGGATAAGACAGTGATGTCGTACATTAGCACCACGAAGGAATCCCTGTACGAGGGCCGAACCGTGGCCTTCCGCCCCTAATTTCACCTACTGCCACGTTCTGAGCCTCGTCGCTGAGCTTGTGGTGGAGCGGTGGTTCTCCTGTGACCTGGATTTCCCCGACAGTGGGGCTGGATGCCCTGATGCAAGCCGCTGAGTGCGAGGAAATGTGAGGAAGCCCAGCGGGGTGCAGGGCTGCAGTACGCAGATTGTTGTTCTTGTTCGGGTGGGCGATGTGAGGAGGAAGCAGAGAGACTGCAGACAAGAGATGAGAGGGACATTTCACAATGCTAAGCTTCCTTTGGGAAACTACACCGTGTCTGTTTTGTATTTCAAAATCATTATAAAGGAAAATGTAATATTAATAATTCCATAATGTGAGGTTTTATTTTAAAGAGCATGAATTTGATTACATACTGAAGCAGGAAGGTCTTTCTTTCCAAAGGCCGATCAGAATCACTTATGAAGGTGCTCCATTTACTGCAAATTGGCACTTTATTGACCGTGTGATGTTCTTCACTTGCAGGAGCGGGTCGGCTGCAGGAATGTGACTCGTCTGCCGGTGCCTTCTACCAAAGCTGGCTTCTGTTTGGCTGGAAAGATGGAAAGTGTCATCCGCAAGTTCCCAGGTTCTGCATTGAGTGAAACCTCATTCAGCAGCGTACTTTAACACTTAATCAAATGGTTGTGTTTGCTAAGTGAAAGCAGCCGTTCGGTGGCGATAAACACAAAAAAAATCATCAGGACTATTTTTGTTTTACGGCAGACTAGAGTTTAATTTCTCTTATTCTACAGCCAATAAAATACGTGTATTACTCTTAGTACCCTGTGGGTACTTTTCTATAAAACAGTTTAGAAACAAAGTTACACTAGAATGATAGAGAGCATTTACGACAAGGCCCAATAGTCCCCTTTTAATTAAGCTGCACCAAATTGCAAACACTCATCGATATCAGTCCTCTAAATATGCTTCATTTTACGTCCATCATGAATTATTCCCCAGTAAATTGGTGAAAATGTTCAAAAACACCTAAATCCTATTATTTCTTGTAAGAAAGTTCTGTGGAAATCAGTTCAGTAGTTTTTTGTGTAGTTCTGTTGATAATCAAACAAACAAACACACAGAGGTAAAAGCATA